GAAGGATTTTGGGGTATCTCCCAAGAGGGGAGCCTCTCCCAGCCCCTCTGTGCCCCAAAATCCTTCCCAAGCCACACAGGCTGCATCCAGCTGCGTCTTCCAGTCCCTCTTCACCCCAAAATCCCTTTTAAGCCACAGAGGTGCATCCAGCAGCATCTTCCAGCCCCTCAGCACCCCCCTATGGCCCCCTCCGGGGTGTGCAGAGAGAGTGGAAGGTGCTGAGGATGGATAAAGGCGTGAAAAACCCCAAAACCCCCAAAATGGGTGAGACACTCCAAAGATCTGCGCTACCAGAAACGACCCCCAAAATGGGGGAAGAAAACCATCACTATTGGGGAAGGTTGGCTTTTTTGGGGGGGGGGGGGGTGCAGGGGGAGGGGTCACCTTCCCGCCGGTGACTGAAGAATGCCACCCTGTCTCCCACGACTTGGCACCAAATAATGTAATCCCCCCTCCCTCCTTATTTTGCCCCCACAGGAGGGGATGGATCCTTGGAAACCCGAGAGCAAAGTTCTCATTTCCGACTCCATTGTGCCCGCACTTTTCGTGGCGTTTCCTGCCTTTTGTGAGCCCCCCCTGCTCCGGCACAATCCCGGCGTTGCCGGCACACAGAGCTCCTCTGTTCCCCTCCTTTATGTGGCTGCAGCTGGCGGCCCCATGGAGGTGCCCGAGCCTGGGGGACGATGGGGGTTGATGTCCCCAGGAGGGGATTGCCAAGGAGAACAGGGGAGAGGGTCCCGGGGGGTTTGCCTGAACGCTGCTGTCCTGGCTTTTTCCCTGTCCCAGTGGATCCAGCCACCCCACAGGGCTCTGATCCTGCTCCCCAGCTTTGGAAAGGGCACCTGTGGGGCCACCCCTCGGTGACAAACCCCAGGGATGCAGCAGCTCCCACCTGACCCTGACCCAGGAAGGGTCATGGGGAGAGCAGAGCCAGAGCCTCTTGGGGCCTCCTCAAACCTCCCCAGGGAAGGAGGGAACAGAGGGACCCCTGGAGCACCCCCTGGGCACCTCCCCGGGGACACAGAGCCAGGCTGGGCCCGGCAGGGGCAGAGTGGTGGCTCTACCTCTGGCCATCTGCGTGGCAGAGGGAGGTGCTGGCAGGGAGTTACCGGAGCTCTGCTCTCGAGTGGAGATAAATGTCACAGCAGCCACCAGCCAGCGCAGCCCAGGCGTGGGGATTTCATGGACACCTCTCCCCCCGCTCCAGCAGCTGCTCCACGCCTGGGAATGCAGCCCGGGACCAGCTCCTGCACTGGAGGGGTTTGGAGGCCCAGTGTGCCCCTGGCTGGTGTCTCCAGATGGGAGGGCACTTCTTGGGGTCTCGTGGCTCCCCTGAGCCCAGCTGGGAGCCCCAACATCCCCCTGTGGCCAAACCTTCCCCTGGTGGGAGAGCCAGCTCTGCTAGCACTGAGGGGTGTCCCCACATCCCCAATCCCTGCCTGGGCTGGTGTCCCTCCCACACCCCCAGCCCCACATCCAGAGGCATCATCCCGAGAGCACCGAGCTGCTCCCACGAGGCATCACCTGCCATCCCCAGGTCCCTGCTGTGCCCCACATCCCCAGCCCTGCTGGGGACAGGCCGGGTGGCCCTGGGGCAGCCCTGGTGGGGTGACCCCATCCCTCTGTCCCACCCTCCCAGCCCCAGCCCCGGCGCCTGTGCAGGCAGGGACCGAGCGCCTCTTGCAGCCCCAACGCCGGGTTTGTGGTGAAATCCTGCAGCAGTGTTGCCGTGACGACCCTCCTGCAGTTTCCATCCAGAGATGTTTTCCTTTGTTGTGACAGGGACACGGGGAGCGGCCGCCGGGGTGTGATGACGACGGTGGGGGGCTCCCGCTGCGAGGGGCAGGGACCACCAGAGCCCACGGGGGGACCCAGCGGGGCTCCAGCGCCACAGCAGGACTGGGGGGGGTCCCCATGGCTCCAGCACTGCCCTGACTTGGCCCCAATCGCCCAGGGGACAGCGGAGGGGCCCAGAGACTGGGTGACACGAGTGTGAGAGGTCTCAGCTGGGTTTGCTCCCACCAAGAGCTGCAGCAGAGGGGAGACGTGGCCAACGCGCAGGGCGGGGGCACTGCAGGGTCCTGGCAGGGGTGGAGGGGTTGGCTCCATGCAAGTGGGTGCTCCACACCCTCGTGCCCCCAGGACAGAGCCGGTTTGGGGTGGGGGGGTGGCCCGGGAGCCTCCCGAGCTGCCCATTTTGGGAGCCAGGGTGGCGGCGCCGTGACCGGGGTGCTGAGCGGCACCACCGCTGCCATCCCGGGGGTGCTGAGCACCGGGGACCCTCCCTGCAGCCCCCACAGCCAGAGAGTGTCTGCCTGCTCCCCATCCATGGGTGGGGGGGCCCACAGTGGGGGGACCCCCCCGTCCCGCCGCCCCGAGGAGCCGCTTGTTATTCCACTCAGGTCCGAGGGCAGCTAATGAAGCCCGTTCCAGGAGAGCTGCCACATTCATCAGGATTGCAGCTCATTAACGAGGCCTCTGCCACCGCAGCTGGGGCCAGCGCTCGGGGCACTGGCACGGGGACAGGCAGCGGGTGGACGGACAGATGGACAGGCAGGGCCGGCCGGCAGCTGGGGCCTGGCCTGGCTGGGGTGCTGCTCTGGAGTTGGGCAGGACATCTCAGCCGTGGATCTGCTCCAGAGAGGGGACAGGGTGAATCCCAGCACCGTGGATCCACTTCCACGCTGCCCCCATCCCGCGGTCCTGGCTTGTTTTGGCTTTAGGCCAGGCCTGATCCATGGCATGAGCTGGGCACGACACCCCAGGGCCGGGCTGGGGGCTGTAGAACCCCCTGCCACGGGGATGCAGGGATTCCGCCCTGCCCAGGCCCAACTTCCCTCCGAACCCACCAGCAGGATGCATTGATTTTATTTTCTGTTTCCATGGCAACTGCCTCCTTCCCTTCCCCCTTCCGGCAGCCGGACCCGCTCCTCACCCTCCGGCAGCACCCACCCCGCACCCGGGGCGTGGGCTGGGACCCCTCCTGGGCATCCCTGGGGCAACAGGGCCACCAGCCCACCCCTGTGCCCTCCACAGTGCCAGCGTGGGGTTTGGGGGCAGTGGGGCTGACGTGGGACGGGAGGGACCCCAGGACAGCCCCTCCCTGCCCCCAGCAATAATCAGCGGCAGGGCTGGCAGCACGCCGTGCTGGCTCATTAGCCAGGGCAGTAATTGTGTCCCCCGGTGTGGGGACACCGAGCAGCATCTCCCGGTGGCAGAGCCAAGCTCATTAAGGGCACGTCCCACCCTCACAGCTGCTCACACCCATGTGCCACATCTCCTGCACCCCCGGTGTGGGGACACCGGCACTGCAACAGCCCAGCCAGGAGGCCCTGCCTTCACCCCTCGGGGCTAAAGGTCACCTTGTGCCTTAAAACCAGTGTTATAGGAACGTAATTATGGTCACATCCCGCATCCACCCCATTCCAGAGGCTCCCACCCATCCCTGCCCTGGCTCCTTCCCAGCACTGAGGTGCCACCACATTGTCACTGAGCATCCATCACAAACCACATCGGGCTGTGCCAAATCCTCCTGTCCCCCCTCCCCAGGACCTCCCGACCCCCCTGCTCAGGGGGGTTCTGTGCACGATAAAGGCCCGTCCTGGAGAACAGGCAGAGCCCTGTGCCTGCCCCTGAATTCCGCCCGCGCCGCTTCCCCCGGCAATCTCCTGGGTCTTCGCGGAAGTGGAATTCAATCGGCACAAGCAATTAATTAACGGCGAAGGGGCACAAGACCCGCTTCTTCTTCGGAAGCGGCTCCCGGGGCTGCTCAGCAAACCCCACACGCCGGCACCCGCCGCACAAAGGGCACCGGCACCCGCTTCCTGCGCCCGCTGGGAGCGGGGGGTCTGGATCAGTGCCGGCGCTTGCGCTGCCACCAGCCCGTCCAGGAGCTCCTGGATAACTGGCCAAGGCCCCCCCGGCGGGCGGCGGAGGGCCGGGCTGGCCGGCAGCCGGCAGCCAGCGGTGATGCCAGGCCGGCACAGCCCGCGGGCACGGGGCACGTTCCTCGACAGCCAGCACGGGGCCGAGGCTGCAATCCTGTGGGATGCGCTGCCTCCCGCTCCCCCGTGGGCCTGCAGGGGTCAGGGGGCACTGGGCTGAGAGGGGGGGCTGCTGGGGGGGCAGCAAAGGGGGGGACGGTGGCACAGACGGCAGAGCTGTCTGTCCCCCGGCGCACAATTAGCCCGGGGGCAAATGAGGCTCCTGCGGTTTTTGACCCAATTTCTCCGGCGAAACTCGGCGGGGGAAGGAGGGGAGGAGGGAGGAGGGAGACGGAGCCCGGCACGCGTGTGCTGGTGTGTGTCACACGTGGGAGTGGGCACGCTCGGGCACACACGTGTGTGCTGGTTGACGTGTGTGTGCACGCTCAGGCACACACGTGTGTGCTCCCTGACACGTGTGTGCTCCCTGACACGTGTGTGCTCCCTGACACGTGTGTGCTCCCTGACACGTGTGCTGGCTGACATGGATGTGCTCCCTGCAGGGATACAGGGATGAGCAGGATTGCTGGGCCGTGTAAGGATTCTGGGATCTGCAGGGGTGTGCAGGGATTCAGGGATTCAGGGATGCAGGGATGTGCAGGTATGCAGGGATGCAGGGATGTGCAGGGATATGCAGGGATTCAGGGATGGGCAGGTATTCAGGGATGCAGGGATGTGCAGGGATGCAGGATTCAGGGATGCGGGATCCAGGAATCCCTCCCACCCCGCACTCTCTCCCTCCCCCTCGGTCTCTCCGCTGCCGGTCCCACCTACAGCGCTACCCTGGAGGGTCCCCGCGCCCCCCGCCGTACCGGGGGCAGGGGGGGTACCCCCGATCCCAAGGACACGCGGGGGCCGGGATGGACGAGGCTTTGGCAGAGGGGGCGAACACGAGGGGGTCCCGGGGCGCTGCACATCCCCCTCCCCGCGGGGTGCGGGGCGTCCCCGCAGCGGGGCGAGCGGTGCGGGGCGGGGCGGGGGGAGGTACCGGACACCGGGAGCGGGGAAGCGGCTCCGCCTCTTCCTGCGGCGGGCGGTGAGTGCAGGGACGGCCCGGCGGGATTGGGGTGGGCGTGGGGGCGGCACCAGGGGTCCCCATTGCTGGGCGGGTGTCCCCGATGCTGTCCCAGGGTCCCCATCGCTGTCCGAGGGTCCCCGTTGCTGCCTCGGGGGTCGCCAGTGCGATCCAAGAGTCTCCATTCCTGCCGAGGTGTCCCCAGTGCTGCTTTGGGTGTCCCCAGTGCTGCTCAGGGGTCCCCAGTACAATCCAAGGGTCTCTGTTCCTGCCCAGGGGTCCCCAGCGCTGCCAGAGTGCCTCCAGTGGTACCTGGGGGTCCGCAATACTATCCAAGGGTCCCCAGTCGTGCCCAGGGGTCCCCAACGCTGCCAGAGCGTTCCCAGTGCTGCTCAGGGTTCCCCAATCCTACCCAAGGGTCCCCATCTCCCCCTGCCCACCGGGGTCTCTCCCCAGGCCGCGATGCCGCTGGAGCCCCTGGTCTGTGCCCACACCACGGCGCGGTGAGTGCTGCTCCCTCCCGCCTGTCCCCCGCTGTCCCCCGGCCCCAGGAGGGTCTCACGTCCCCTGCCCTGCTGTCCCCCCCCACGCCGTGTCCCCTGCAGGGTGAGCTCGGTGCTGAACCGGGACGCGAAGCAGTTCGGGAAGCAGCACATGTTCGACGCCAGCGAGGAGACCTGCTGGAACTCGGACCAGGTTTGGGGGCACGGGGACAGGTGGGGAGCCACAGGGGTGGCTCGGGAGCCCTGCTGTGCCCCCCCTCTGTGACATCCCCGTGTCATTCCTGCCCCCAGGGCACGTGCCAGTGGGTCACCCTGGACTTCCCCCGCCCCGTCAAGGTCTCGCAGCTCCACGTCCAGTTCCAGGGGGGATTCTCCAGCCGGCTGTGCACGCTGGAGGGTGAGGTTTGGGGGTGTTTGGGGTGGGGGGGGTCCCTCTGCCTTGGTTCACCCACACCTGGGTCCTCCAGGTGTGGGGGGGGCCCAGAGGGATTTGTTGGCCATTCCCAAGGCCCAGGAGGGGCTGAGGCCCTGGGCTGGAGCAGCTCCAGCATAGTGGACAGCGAGGAGCTGGGGGGTCTCGGGGTGCTGGGAGGATTTTGGCACAGCCACTGAACCTCTCCCCTCACCCTCCCCAGGCTGCAGGGCAGGTGAAGAGCTGGTGAAAATATCCGAGCTGTACCCCCAGGACAGCCATGCCATGCAAATATCCTTTGCCAGGAGCGGGCTGGGCCCAACCCCTCAGTGTGGGGGGCTCCAGAGCCCCCCGAGGCTGTTGAGGGGCAGGAGGGTGGGGGCACAGCTGGGCTTTAAACTCCTGGGAACCTGCTGGGACTTTGCCACTGTCAGAGCTGCTCAGCAGAGCTGGAGCACCGGGGCGTGAACCCACTGGGAGCAGGTCTCCCACTGCCTGTTTTATTCCTGTTTTTATTCCTGTTTTGTTCCTTCATGGGCCCTGCAGAGATTCCAGGTGGAGGAGACGGTGCTGGACAAGCTGAAGATCACCTTTGAGAACAGCACGGACTTCTTTGGGAGGATCGTGGTGTATCACCTGGGGGTGCTGGGGGAGAGGCTGTAGGATACTGGGGGTGGGAGGGGGTGGCTGCCCCCACCCCTGGGGGGCTCTTAAAACCTGCCCCAGCTGCCCCCCCGAGGCGCTGAGAGGAACCCCCATCCCTCGGGGTGGCAGTGACAGAGGGGACACTGCGAAGGGATCCCCCCTTGGAGGGACTCAGGGGTGTAACCAGATGAATAAAAGGGTGTCCCTGCTCCCTCCTGGCTGCTCCTTGGGAAGTGGCCCCCCAGGACTGAGCCCCTGGGGGGGTTTGGCTTGAGCAGGAGGGAGGAGAGTGTCCCCTCAGGCCGTCTGTCACCTTTGCTGGCTCCCCTGATCTCCTCGGCGCGGCTGCTGCCCGGGCTGGCAGCGTGCCAGGGCTGTGCCACATTCCCACATTCCTGGATGCTTCCTGCAGGATTTTCCTCCTTCCTCTGCCCTACTTCCCTGGCTGGGTGCAGGGGAGGCTCAGCAGGTTTATAGGGGAGGATACCGGGGTGTTGGGGCAGAGGGAGAAGAGAACTGCTGGCCCAGTTGCCCTCGTGCTTCCCCAGTAACTGGGATTGGGCACAGGAGCTGTGACAGGCCAAGGCAATGCACAGGGCTCCACAGGGCTGCTTTAGGGTTTAATTCCGAAAATGTCACCCTGGAATTCATGGAGCAGCTGAGCCTGGACGGGGCAGAGGCGCTGCTGCCCTGAGGAATGAGCGTCCCTGGGCGGGAGGCACCGGGGCTGAGCCACCCCTGGGAGAGCTGCGGGGATTCCCGGATTCCTCCACGTGCTCCTCGCCTGCAGCCTCGTGCCGTGGCCCTTTTCCTGGTCCCAGAGCAGAACTGGGGCTGCCAGCCCCGTGTCACTCCAGCCCCTTGTTCTGGAACAGCTTCAGGATGTGGTTCTCGATGACCTGTTGGACTGAGGGAGGGAGAGAGGTGGGACCCGGGGAAGCCAAGAACTGTGAGGAGCCACTGCTGCTGTGGGGAGGAGCTGGTCAGCGTTTTGCTCCTGTTTTCTGATGGAAAACCCCCTTCTCCAGGGGCCTGTCCCCCCATCCCCCAGTCCCAGCCCTATCCCCAGGGTTGGGGAGCAAAGCCTGAGGGTCCAGTTTCCCTGGATCGATGTCCAATTTCCCTGGATCGATGTCTCTGCCTGGCAGGGCTGTGGGGGAGGTCAAAGCCAGCCCCAGGCAGCGCTGGGAATTGCCTGGAGGTTTTCCAGGGAGGGAAGGGGTGGGGACACCTGCCTTTCTTGTGGCCCAGGGCCACGGCCAGGTCCATGGGGGTGTAGCCAGAATCCGCCTCCTCCGTCAGGTCAGCGCCGTGAGCTGCAAGTGGAGACCAGGGCAGGGGAGGGTGAGGGGACCCCAAAAGCTGCCCCTGCCCCCCCCAAGGGGTGTGTCCCTCTCTTCCCGAGGCAGGGGAGCAGCAATTCCAGGGGCAGGCGTTCCCCTTACCCAGCAGGGCCTCCACACACTTGACGTGGTTCCCGCGCACGGCGTAGAGCAGGGGGGTGCCACCGTTCTGGGGACAGGGGGGACAGGGGCAGTCACTGCCGGGCTCCCACAGCTCCTGCTCCTCCCAGACAGGGGGGTCTGACCTGCTGGGATCCCCCTTCCACCCCCTACCAGCTCCAGGCTGGAATTCACAGGGATCCTCCTTCTACCCCCTCCCCAGAGCCGCTCCCTGCAGGTTTTATTCTTCCCCCTGCGACACAATAATTTTGAAACTGTGTCACTTGAAAACCACCCCAACCCTCTGCTCATGGGTGGTTCCTTGGGGGTGCTGCCACCCCCCAGCCAGGGGAAAAAAAAAAAAATTAAAACCATTATCCCGATTTAATTTCTGGGAACAACCACACGAGCAAGGCTGGGAGTGCTGGGAGCCCGGGAAGCACCAGCCTGGAGCGATGGGAGCTTTGTGGAGGCCTGTCCTGGTGGCCCTGGTGGCACTCACCCAGTCGTAGATGTTGATGTCCACGTTCCTCTCCAGCAGCAGGGTGACAATGTCCGTGTATCCCCCCATGCTGGCCAGGGACAGGGCACTCTCCCTCTCCTTGGCCAGAGCGTGGGGATCAGCTCCCTGGGAATAAGGCAGGGGTTGGTCCTGAGAGGTGGCAGAGCCCTGGGACACCCCCCCGGGGGGCTCAGCCCCGGAGCCAGGTCCCCACAGTGGGCAGGGTTCACACCTTCCCAGCCAGCCAGAAATCCCTCCTGGCCAAAATCCTTACTGGGCATGTTTTAATCACCCCCAAGCATCTCCTGGGAGGCCTTAAAAGCCCTTCTCCAGTGTCTTGATGGATCCTGTTACTCATCAGCAGCAGGAACAGCATCCCTGGCCTGTCTGGATCCCTGTACATTTACTGGGGTTCTGTACTGAGGCCTCACCCACTCCAGCAGGTGCCGGACCGTCTCGATCTCCCCGAAGGCGGCGGCCCAGATGAGGGGGGTGAAACCTCTCTCGTCGGGTTTGTTCACCAAGTTCTCACCTGCACAAACACAAAGGAGGGGGGGGACACAGGTGGGAAGGGGAAAGCCCCCTCTGCTCCCTCAGCCCTCCCAGTAAACCCAGCAACACCACCCCAGCTGGCGGGTTAAAGGTTGGAGTGGGGGATCCTCGAGGTCTTTTCCAACCTCAGTGATCCTGTGGCTGGGTGAGAACTGAGCTGGGGGTGTGGGGGAGTCACCAGCTGGGACCTGGCAGGGCTGGGAGAGGGAGCCACGTACCTTTCCGAAGGTGCTCCTTCAGCTGGATGAGCTCCCCCTGGGCAGCAAGTTGGTGGATGGACAGTGCTGGGGGAGAGAAGGGATTCAAAATCCTTCCCCAGCTGCAGGTGGGTCCCTGGCCCCAGAAATCCCTCCCCCCTGCCATTCAGCGGTGTGAAGAGCAGGACACAGAGGGTCCCCCCATGTCCTGCTGTCCCTCTGTCCCCTCCACACCCCCTCTGTCACCCCCTGCCTGGTGGCACTCACTGTCCAGCGTGGCTGGGAGGGCTGAGACCTCGTTGCCTCGTTGCCTGTTGGTCAGAGTGTTGGAGTGTTTCAGGGGGAAACCTGTTCCAGGGAGAGGAGAGAGGGTTCATTCTCTATTTATTTATCCTCTACTCATTTAGGTCTTGTTCTCTATTTATTTATCCTCTACTCATTTAGGTCTTGTTCTCTATTTATTTATCCTCCATGAATTTAAGTTTTATTCTCTATTTTTTTTTTAATTCTCTACTCATTCAGGTCTTATTCTCTATTTATTTATTCTTATACAGGCACCAAGAGCTGAGCAGGGAGATAAACTAGACAGGATCCACCCGTGGGGGGAAGCAGGGACCTGAAATTAAGGGCATAAATGCACAGGTTCACTCAGGTCCGTCCTCCTCTTTCCTGCCCTTGAGAGGCTCCACGTGGAAACCTCAGCGTGTTTTCAACCGGCGATTCCGTAGTTCTTGATCGGGAAAGCCCCTGGAAGGGCTTCCCGGCTCCGGTGGAGCTGCAGCGACCTCTCACTGCTGGCGCGAGGCAGCGCCCAGGGCTGGAGCTGGAGCTGGGATTGGCTTTGGGAGGGACTGGCAGCAGCCAGGGACTGCTCTCCAGCGGATTTGGTGGGCTGGGAGAAGCCAGGGACTGTTCTCCATAGATTTGGTGGGCTGGGAGAAGCCAGGGACTGTTCTCCATAGATTTGGTGGGCTGGGAGAAGCCAGGGAGCTCCGTTTCCCTCTGGCTCTGCAACACTCACCGTCCAGGGCCGGCAGCTCGGCGCTGCTCTGGGCATCCATCGAGGGGGTCCTGGGGGGCTCAGCTCCACCTGCCAAAACAGGGAGGCTCTCAGGGACCCCTGGGGGCTCCACACCCTCCGTGTCTGAGCCCGGGGGGGGCTCCAGGACAGCTGGGAGTGGGACAGGATTGTTGGGGTATCCCACGGAGGGACAAGGTTGTTGGGGTGCTCTGTGCAGGGGGTCAGGGGTTGGACTGATGATCCTGATGCATCCCTTCCCACTCAGGGTATTCCACGATCCCCTGAATCCCGATTTACAGTGGGGGCAGGATCTCGGATCCACGCATCCCCCCACCCTGTCTCCCACCCCTCCCGTCGCCCCCAGACTCACCATCCCCTCCGTCCCCCGCATCCCTGCTGTCCTCCAGCTCCTCCTCCTCCTCTTCCTCCTCCTCATTCTCACCCCCTTCCCCCCCAATTCTCGCCCTTTTCCTTGGCGTCCCCGTGGCTCAGTGGGGGTGTCTTGGGGGGGGTCTCCACGACCCCCACCAGCCGCTCCTTCACCTTCCGCGGGGGGGGTGCGGGAAAGACCTGCAAGAAAGTGTTGGGAAGAAGGGGGAAAAGCGGGGGAAAGCAGGGGATTTGTGGGACACACCTCCCCCCCCCCAGCACCAAGTCCTTACGACCCCAAACCCGCAGCCCAATTTGGGGGTCCCCCACCTTGTCCGCTCCCCGCCAAATCCCAGCGCCCACCGGAGCTCAGGGAAGGGGATCCCCCTTTCCGTTCCCGATACTTCTCTCCATCCCCTCACCGCGGTCTCCGCTCCCGGGAAAGGCTCCGGGATGCGGAATTTGGGGGGTTCTGGGGGGGTCCCGTCCCGGCTCCACCCGCCCGCTGACGATGGGGGAGGGAACACGACCTTAAAGCGACAGGAACGGCGGGGACAGGGGTGGCAGAGGGGCGGCAGGACCCCCCCCCCACCACCCCATGGCCTTGGCGACACGTGGGGGACACGACCCCCGCCACCCCCATTTATCCCTCGTCCCGCTCCGGGACAGCGGATCCAGCCCCCAGACCACGGGAATGGGAATATCCAAACACCCACAGGGACACGGGGGGGCTGTGAGGGGACACGGTGCGGGGGTCGCAGCCCCGGGAAGGGAGGGGATGGCGGGGATTTGGGGACACACATCCCTGGGGGCGCCCGATTTTGGGAGAGGAGGGACAAACCCCACACACAGCCCAGGGGCCGAGCGGAACGGAGTTTGCCCAGCCTTGTTCCCACCCGGCGCTGTTTGCGCGGCCGGGGCGGGGCCGGGGCGGAAGCGGCGATGGAGGAGCCCGAGATGCAGCTGAAGGTGAAGAAAGGTGGGAACGGGTCTGGGGTGTCCCCGGGAGGGGTTGGGGGTCTCCAGGAGGGGTTGGGGAGGTCTCCGAGAGGGGTTGAGGGGTCTCCAGGTGGCGTTGAGGGGTCTCCAGGTGAGACTGGGGGAGTCTCCAGGTGGGATTGGGGGATGTCCAGGTGGGGTTGGGATGTCTCCAGTAGGGATTGGGGTTTGGATGTCTTCAGGAGGGATTTGGATGTCTCCGGGAGGGACTGGGGGGTCTCCAGGTGGGATTGGGGGGGTCTCCAGGAGGGATCGGGATGTCTCCAGGAGGGATTGGGAGGTCTCCGGGTGGGGTTGGGAGGTCTCAGATGGGGTTGGGGGGTCTCCAGGTGAGATTGGGGGGGGTCTCCAGGAGGGGTTGGGATGTCTCCAGGTGGGATTGGGATGTCTCCAGGGGGGATCGGGATGTCTCCAAGAGGGGTTGGGGTTTGGATGTCTTCAGGAGGAGTTTTGGATATCTCCAGGAGGGGTTGGGATGTCTCCAGGAGGGGCTGGGATGTCTCCAGGAGGGGTTGGGATGTCTCCAGGTGGGATCGGGGTGTCTCCAGGAGGGATTGGGGTTTGGATGTCTTCCGGAGGGGTTGGGATGTCTCCTAGGAGGGGTTGGGATGTCTCCAGGAGGGGTTGGGATGTCTCCAGTAGGGATTGGGATGTCTCCAGGTGGGATCGGGATGTCTCCAGGAGGGATTGGGGTTTGGATGTCTTCAGGAGGGATTTGGATGTCTCCAGGAGGGGTTGGGATGTCTCCAGGTGGGATTGGGGGGATCTCCAGGTGGGGTTGGGGGGATCTCCAGGTGGGATTGGGATGTCTCCAGGGGGGATCGGGATGTCTCCAGGAGGGATTGGGGTTTGGATGTCTTTAGGAGGAGTTTTGGATATCTCCAGGAGGGGCTGGGATGTCTCCAGGTGGGATCGGGATGTCTCCAGGAGGGATTGGGATGTCTCCATAGAGCACACTCCACCCCTCGGAGATGCTTATGGATCTCTGGGGTCCCCTCTCTGCCGCTTTAACGTGAAACCCCCGGAGTTAACGTTAAAAAAGTGTCAGGACCGGGCTCAGGGGGCCCTTCCCGAGGCTCCCCCGAGCTCTTGACCTCCCCTACTCCCACATTTCCCATCAGTCACGGACAAGTTCACGGAGAGCCTGTACGTGCTGGCCAACGAGCCCTCGGTGGCCCTGTTCCGCCTGCAGGAGCACGTCCGCAGGTCCCTCCCGGAGCTGGCCCAGCACAAGGTCAGTCCCTTCCCAAAATCCTGCCCTCTGCCCTCTGGGAAGCCGTTCCCCCCCCCTGTCCTGGCGCTCCAGAGTTCTCCTGGAGCCCCTTTTTGGGCCCTGAGGTCTCCCTGGTGGAGCTCCTCTGCTCCTTGGGCACTTCCAGGGATCCAGGGGCAGCCACAGCTCCTCTGGGAGTTCCATCCCAGCCCCTCTCTGCCCTCCCAGGGAGGAATTCCTTCCCAATATCCCATCCAACCCTCCCTCTGGCAGTGGGAAGCCATCCCCCCATTATCCCATCATTCCATCCCTTTTCCAAAATCCCTCTCCATGTTCTTTGTCGGCTCCTCCAGGCCCTGGAAGGCCCCAGTCAGGTCACCCCAAAGCTTCTCTTCTCCAGGCTGGACAATCCCAGCTCTCCCACCGAGCTGCTCCATCCCTGAATCATCCAAATCCCTCCCTATTTTGCTGGGAGAACAGGATGGAGGGAGGGAATAAGGGCTCTGGAGGAGGAGGAGGAGGAGGGGGTGAGGCACATTCCGAGGGGATTGGCTTGGAATCTCATCCCTCAGCTGCTTCCCCTTTTCAGCAGGACGGTCCCAGTTTTCAGGGAATGTGCCCTGGACAGAGGGGGAATGGAGGGAGTTGTTTCCATCCCTGTCCAGGATGGGGTTGCAGGAGAATCCCTGGCTCTGGAGCAGCTCTGGGATTGGCACAGAAGGACCTTCCCCTGCAGAGAGCCCCTGGCATGCCCTTGGCATGCCAGGGGCTCTCTGCAGGGGAAGGTCCTTCTGGCTTGTTCCTTTTGTATCCCGAGCTCTGCGCTCCAAATTCCAGCCTTTGAGCAGCGTGGAAGGGTTTGGGATCATGTCCAGGCTCCTTCCTGACCTCCTCCTGGCCAAAACCACCGGGAAACACCGGGAATTTCGCCGGAATATCCGAATTAACCATTCCAGAAAAACACCCCCCATAAATCCTGAGCCCGGCTCCGAGTGGGAAGCAGCCCCTTTTTGGGAGGGGCTAACAGGGCTGTGGGCAGGGCCTTTCCTGACCCCTTCCTGACCCCTTCCCCGCTCCCTTTTTCCAGTCGGACATGCAGAGCTGGGAGGAGCAGAGCCAGGGAGCCATTTACACCGTGGAATACGCCTGCAGGTACCTCTGCTCGCCCCTGCAGCTCTGGGAGGGTGTGGGGGGGACACACACAACCAAAAGCAGGAGCCACCTGATGGATCCACCCAGGAATTTTGGGGGCTCTGAGCTCCTCCCAACCCCCCAGCCCTGAATCCGCCCATGGGAGGAGCGGGGGGTGAAGGTACCAAAATCTGAGCTTCCCTCTCAGCAATCCTCTCTCCCTGGGGGAGTAGAAAGGGGAGGGGGATGGAGTGGCCTCAGACCCTCAGGAATGCCAACCCCCCCCTCCTCGTGCCTCCAATCCCCCCCTTTTTTTGCCCCCAGTGCCATCAAGAACATGACTGACAGCACCGTGTACTTCAAGAGCATCGACAGCCTGCTCAGACACGCCATAGCCATGAAGGAGCAGCTCAACACCGCCCAGGGAAAAAGGTATCCGTGGAAAATGCCATCCCAGGGACCTATGGGGACCTAAAAACCCCAGGGCCAGCGCTCCCAGGCAGTTGTGACCTCAGTGGTGCGGCTGCACCCTGCTTTTCCTGGGAAGCGTTTTGCCAGACTGGGAAAAGAACTGATTTCCCCCCCCCAAGAGGTGGCTCTGACACCCCCAGGGGCTGCTGTGGGAACAGGTGTCCTTGTCCCAGCTGCTGCCCTGCCAAACACCAGGAGGATTTTATTGGAGAAAACCCGCTGATTTTTCACATTTCCTGGCAGCTGGTGGCACTCCTGCCTGCTGGGCGTGACTCTCTCGAGCAACAGGAGAGTTTTATTGGAGAGCAGCCCCGATTTTTCACCTCTCAGGGCAGGTGGTGCCTTGCTAAACGTGACTCTTCCTCTTTTTCCAGCACTGTTGCCCCCCAGGCCAAGAATCCTCCAGCCAGCTCCTGATTTCCTCAAGACCAACCATCCTGTGCTGCCTTTCCCAGCCCAGCTCTGCTCTCCAGCCCTGGGAAGGAACGAGGAACCAGCTGCCCAAGCTGTGGGGGCTGCACAGGTAGAGAGGCCCCCCACCCTGTTCCCAGTGGGAAAATCCTGCCTTAGGCTGGTGCTTTGGAGGTCCTTTTTCCACAGCACCTGCCCAAGGGAAAGGGCCTTGCTTGGGTTCGTCCTTTCCAGTCCTTTCTCTACCTCTTGGCCACGGAAATATCTCAGAAAAAAACCAACCAAACAAACAAAACAAACCCCAAAACTAGGCCTTGCTTTCATGTATTTTGGAAGGTTGGTTGTGGAGGGATGGAATGTGGGCACACTCCTCTGTGTGTGTACGTGCCAGGGAGTTTGGTTTTAATGAGAACAATAATAAAAAGAAGGAAAAAAACAAAAACACACAAACCAAACACACACACACACAAAAAACAACCAGGAAGAAAGTTCTGTGCCACCCCAGACCCCACTCTGTGCCATCCAAGCCCACCCTGTGCATGCTGAGTGATGCCTAAAATCTACTTAATGTGTATTTAAGTGGGGACTCCTCTGGTTCCACCTCACTCGCTCCTCCATCGCCTCCCTCGGGTTTCCAGGGAAAAGCAAGCCCTGCTCAGCTGGTGTAGGGATGAGGATGGGGATGGAGGAGGAAGGGAAGGAGGCAGGGGAAGGGCAGGGAGGTACAACCAGCCTGACAAACCAACTGGAGAAGGAAGGAAGGGTCGGTCTCCTCACGGACAAGCTCCACTTGCTGCTTGTCCCCCTCATGTTCCACAGCTGGAAAACCGAAGTGGGGGGGTCCTGTCTGGGTCCCTGGCGTGGCAGGAGGGGCTTTTGGCTCTGAGCAGAAAGCAGTGGGGTTTTACTCCCAGCAAAAGCAGCAAAAAGGCACAAAGGCGGGAGGGGGGAGAAGCAGCTCCGTGAGACGCCCCCCGTGCCAGCCCCGAACTGGGGGCGCGAATCCCCGGCCCTGGCGCCCCGGGACGGGGCCTGGAGAAGGTGCCACTCGCCCTCACAGCAGCGTGGAGTCCTTGCCCGAGGCTTTTGTGGCCATCACGTGTCCCATCTCCTGCGTGGTGACGTTCCAGGCCTTCCCCTGCGCCTGCAGCGGCCCCGACTCCACCGACAGCGTCCTGTGCGCGGGGGGCTACTCCGAGCCCTCCCTGCCCGACCAGCTCGGGTTGCTACCGGTGGCCTTGGTGAGGTCACTGCCCGAGGAGTGGCCCTGCTGGGCCAGGTCGTACCCGTAGGGGCTGTGGGAGGTCCCAGGGGGGCTGTGCCGGGACACTCGGAGGGCCCCGAGCAGGGTGTGGCTCACGGCGAGGAGCAGCGTGAGGATCCCGGAGAACAGGATGCAGGCAGCGGGAATTCCAGCCCTCTGGTCCAGCACCAGCAGCATGTGGAGGCCGAGAGCTGGAAGGAAAGAAGGGAGGGCACGTGAGGAGCCGGCGGGGGGGGAATAAAGGGATGGTTCTGCGGAATCGCTGAGGTTGGAAAAGTCCACCCTGGGCCTGATAAACCCATCCTGGGTCACCCAGCCCAGAGCACTGAGGGCCACATCCAGTCCTTCCTGGGACACCTCCAGGGGTGGGGACTCCAAACCTCCCTGGGCAGCCCCTTCCACTGCCTGAGCACCCTTTCCATGGGGAAATTCCTCGTGATGTCCAACCTGGACCTCCCCTGGCACAGCCTGAGGCCATTCCCTCTTGTCCTGTTGTTCCCTTGGAGCAGAGCCCGACCCCCTCTTGGCTCCCCCTCCTGTCAGGGACTTGCAGAGCCAGAAGGTCCCCCCTGAGCCTCCTTTTCTCCAGGCTGAGCCCCCCCGGCTCCTCCTCATCTGACTGACCCTCCAGCCCCTTTCCCATCTCCATTCACTGCTCTGGACACGCTCCAGCCCCTGGTGAGCTCTGGGGAAGTTCCCTCTCCGGGAATGAACTGGCAAAGCCCTCTGCAAACCCAAGCAGAAAGCAGGCCCAGGGTGCAGGGGCTGGGAGGGCACGGGGTGGGGGGAGAAGAGCCCTTGCCTGTGAGGTAGAAGGCGATCCCACAGCAGAAGAGGCCGATGGTGGCGTGACGGACCCACTGGTTGTCCTGGAGGAACCTGTCAGCCCTAGCAAAACAGGGCACAGAGACACTGAGACACCGAGGAGACACCAGGGAAACATCAGAGAAAAACCACGGCCCTGGTGTGAGCACAGAAGAAATGCTGGTGGCTCAAACCCCTGCTGAGAAAAGGAAACCCTGGTTTTGCACAGAGAAAGAAGGTTCAGGGCCAGGTCGCAGCCCGAGGATGTGCTGAGCTGCACATTCTTCTCGATTTGGAAATCACTTGGAATTTTAAACTTCCTGCCTGGCTCCCGTGCTTCCAAGATCTGATGGGGATGAGTTCGGGAGAGACAAATGCTTGGGGGGTGGGAGGGGGGGGAGCTTTTTGCAGGTGATTTGCCCCTTTTCAGCAGAACCTGGAAGAACAAATGAGGAATAAAAGCGAGGTGGGTCTGCAAGCTCTGCAAGTGTAAATGGGCTGGTAATGTTAAAACCTGTCTGTGGATGGTGCTGTGCTGTCACCCCCAGCGGTGGCCCAGAGAGCCTAGGGCCAAATTTTGGGTGCCCCCGGGCATCCTGGCCCAGGATGTGTGACCCCCACCTGCTCCTCCCCGTTATCGGGGAAGTTACATCACCTGGAATTAAACAGTCCAGAATGAACCTGCTCCCGGGCCAGGCACTTGCTACACCCCAGATTAAAGGGCACGTTTACAGCCCTGGGGTTCCTGGGCAGAGACAAGACCCCAACACGTTGGCCTGGGTTTGCACAGGAGCGTTGCCAGGGAGATTGAAACACCCGTACCGATGCAGTCAGGGATGAATTTGCTCCCAGGCCACACAATTGCTAATCACAGCTGCACCCCAAAATAAAGGGCACGTTTACAGCCCTGGGGCTCATGGCCAGGGACAACCCCGTGCTCCTGGCAAGGACTTTGGAGGGGAATTTTGGGATATCCCAGTGCCAGGGGCATCGTTTGCTCCCCACAACCGCCACTGTGCAGGGCAGTGGTTTGGGGACCCCCCCAGAAAAGGCCGGATTTTGGGATCCGGAGGGGTTGGCAGAGCCAGTGCTGGGTGGGGACAGACACCCTGTGACAATCCCGGGGCAGCAGTGCCACCCTGCACCCCTCACCCCCTCAGTCCCTCTGCACCCCTCCAGCCCCCTCCCTCCTCTCCACACCCCCTGCTTCCCCCCAGCTTCCCACTGCCCGGCATCCCTCTGAGCATCCCTGTGGCTCCCGAGCCACCCGGTGCCCCCAAACCCTCCCATCCTTCCATCCCCTGATGCCCCCAAACCCTCCCATCCTTCCATCCCCTGATGCCCCCAAACCCTCCCATCCTTCCATCCCCTGATGCCCCCAAACCCTACCATCATTCCATCTCCTGATGCCTCCAAACCCTCCCATCATTCCAACCCCTGATGCCCCCAAACCCTCCCATCCTTCCATCTCCTGATGCCCCCAAACCCTCCCATCCTTCCATCCCCTGATGCCCCCAAACCCTCCCATCCTTCCATCCCTGATGCCCCCAAACCCTCCCATCCTTCCATCCCCTGATGCCCCCAAACCCTCCCATCTTTCCATCCCCTGATACCTCCAAACCCTCCCATCCTTCCATCCCCTGATGCCTCCAAACCCTCCCATCCTTCCATCCCCTGATGCCCCCAAACCATCCCATCCTTCCAGCCTCCGGTGCCCCCGGAACCCTCCCGTCATTCCGCCCCGCGGTGCCCCCCGGCGCCCTCGCGGCCCTCACCGGTCGTGCCCGGGCTGCCCCCGGCACAGCTCTGTGCTGAGGTAGCCGTGCAGGAGGCAGAGCAGGAGGCAGCTCAGGTTGAGCACCAGGCAGAGCGAGGCCAGCGCGGCCGCCGCCGCCTCCATCGGGGGCACCGCCCAGGTCGGCAGAGCCCCCCGAGCGCTGCCCGAGAACTGGAGCCGCAGCAGGAGGTTGGAGGAGAGCAGGGCCATGACGGCGGACAGGGCACCGAACAGCAGCAGCACCGTCAGGGCTCGCTGCCGGTAAACCCCGGGCATGGCGGGGCCGGCCATCGGGGGGGCTCCGGGGGGGGCTCTCCCGAACTCCTCGGGGCTCCCACCGCCGGATCGCGGGCACCGGGAGCAGGAGAGGGAACGGATAACGGGCACCGGGAAGCGGCACCGAGCCGGGATGCCCGCGGCCGCCTTCCAGCCACGCCCGTGGACGCCGGGGCGGGCCGGTCCTGCCCCCGGGCCGGTCCTGCCCCGGGCCGGTCCTGCCCCCGGGCCCTCCCCTCGCCGAGCGGCCCCCTCGGCCCCCCCGGGCCGGCTCCACCCGGCACCCGCTCCCGGTGGGGCCCACGGAGCTTTCTCGGGGCGAGAGGGACTTGAGAAGGGGATGGACGGGGGTCCGAGGAGCCCGACTGGGTTCGGGGGAACGGACAGACGGACCCCGAGTAGAGCATCGTGCCGCTCCCCCTCGCTCTCCGCAGTCCCAGCCCCGACTGTCCTGCTCCTGGGAAATCCCCGGGATTGACCCTCACCGGCATAACCCCGGCCCCAGAGAGGGCAGAACAAGGGTGAGGGTGGTGGGAAGGGGACACCGCGGTCCCCTCATCCCGCGTCCCCCCAGGAGAGGCACCTTTGGCCTCCACCTGCGGGGGGGAAAGAATCCCCTCGGTGTCCGGAGGGAGCACCCAAAACGTTCTCAGTCCCGGAAGGCTGGGAAAGGACCCCCGGGGCTCTGCGCTGCCGTCAGCCCCCGGCCCTTGGGGCCCCCACGAGTTTCCCATGTCTTATAAATATCCTGGGAAGCAGAATCGCCTTCTCCTCTGGGATCTGCCCCGCCAGCGGGGCCCCCTGGGAATCGTGGAGCATTAAAAGGGGATTAATTCAGGAAAATTCACTCCACAGGTCACCTGTTACCTCGGGAAAGACCCCAAGTCTGGAGAGTGCTGGGGAAGCTGAGGTAGAGCTTCCCCTCTCAAACCCACCCTCCTGGCACGGGAATTTCCCCTGTGTGTGGCACGAGGGGACACCAGGGGACATCGGGGTCTGGCCTTCCCAGGCACATCCCGGGCACCCTGCCAGGGCCAGGCCAGGGGACCGGCTGTGACACAGACCCCTCCATCCTGGTGGCAGCAGTGCCTGGGCCCGTGCCCGGGCCTGGCTGTGGGATCTGCACGGGGTGACCTTTCCGTCTGGCGCGGGGGCAGTGCCGGCCCAGCCTTCCCGTCCCGCGTGGGTGGTTCCCCTGGCACCCCCCGCTCCCGGAGCCCACTCGGGCTATTTTGGAAGCTACTGTGTTGCCCTTGGCAGCAGCTCGGGTTTGGCTCCCGTCTCCTTTCCAGCCCCGCTCGTAATTTTGCCGGGAGGGGGGATGTCAGTCCCCGGGAGCGTGTCCTGAAAGCCCCCAAACCGGTGGCAGCATCCCTGTCCCTTCGCCCATGGCTGGGAGAGTGACGGGGCTCAGCCGTGTCCCACACCGGGGTGCAGAGCACTGCAGGTCTCATCCCAGGACATCCAGCAGCTTGGCTCCCCAAAACCCCAGGATTTTGGGGCAGGAAGAGCCTCAAGAGGGAGCTCAAAGCTTGCAAGTATTTCGAGGGGTGTTCTGGGCAGCCCCTTTGCCCAAAGGGGGGGTTCAGATGCCACGGCTGGAAGTGACTCTTACCCTGCCCAGACTCCTGGGAAGCCCGAGATGAGGGGAGGACGATGGGGCAGGGATGTCCCACCTCCCCTTCAGGAACAATTAAGATTGTGAGCAGGGCTGATTGCCAGCCTGCTAATTGCACTCTATAAATCACGAGCTTTAAAAGCAGCTCTGAGAAAGATGTCACGTCCTTCTCCCCAGCGCATCCAGAGAGTCCCCCATCTCTCCAGCCTCCCTTCCCCAAACCCCCCCAGGGGCTGGGAGGTGGCACTGGATCCCCAGTACAGCCAGGGTGGAAGGACAGGTCCCTGCTGGGGGCCTGCCATGGGAGCTGCTGTCCCTCAGAACTCCCTTCCCACCTGCTGGCGCTCCGCTGGCACCACGGGAGCTTGGGAGTTGCATCAGTTCCCCCTGGCTGCTGTAAACACGGGTGTTCCCTGTGGGAATCCCGTGCCAAGCGGCTCCTGGACGGCTCTTCACCTCCCCAGGGGGCTGCAGGTAGCAGGACCCCCGGCACAGCACCCACCCCGTGGTGCTCAGCACCCACTCCATGGCACTCAGCACCCACCCGGGAGCTGCCCAGCAGATTACGGGTTCGGGGAGGGGGCAGAGCAGAGCGGGGTGGTCACGGTCACCCCTCTGGCTGCACCGTGGCTTTGTCCCCGCCAAGGCAGAGGCCTCACAAGGACAGGGCACGAGTGGGGGCGTGGATTGGGCGGTGCCTTCTCCGGGGCTGATTCTGAGGCCGGGTTTGGGCCCAGCCTCAGGGCCAGGGCACAGCAGCGTCCCCCGAGCTCGGGTTCTGCTCCATCCAGGGGAAAGCAGCTTCTCAGCCTGGCCCCTCCATGCCCTACAGACTCCCAGACTCCACCGTCCCCTTCCAGCAGCCCCAGGCTGCCCATGTGTCTGTCACATGGGGCTGTCCGTGTGTCTGTCCCAGTGTGACGCAGCAGCATCTCCCTCCCTTGGCTCTGCAGAGTCACCTCAGGGCGTCCCCACGGGCTTCGAGCCACGGGGTCCACAGCCCCCCACATCCTCTGGAGCTCAGCGAGCTCCGGTGCCCAGCAGGTTCCTGGACACCCCTTCGAGGGCACAGCATCCCCTGGGACCCCCCAAATTTCACTCCATCCCAGCCCCCTACACTCCCACAAACTCACCCACACCTTTCCCTGCAAACCCCCCTAAACCCAGACCCCCAAGCCCCCCTCATTGTCACCCCCATCCCAGTCCACCCCAAACCCACCACCCACCCTCACAGGCCCCGCCCCTTTCCCCGTCGGGGGCGTGGTTATGCAAACCAAGCCGCGGCGTTCCGCCAATGGCGAGTGAGCCCGGCTCCGCTATGCAAATATTCCGGCTGGGTGGGCGGGGTTATGCAAATATCGCCGGCGCTGCTCGGGCGGGCAGCGCGCGCTGCGGGGACACGGGACCGGGACCGGGATCGGGATCGGGATCGGGATCGGGATCGGGATCGGCACCGGGACCCGCACCGGGACCCGCACTGGAGGGGCCGCCCCGGCTCCGCTGCAGCGCCGGGAACCCCCGTCCGGAACTGCCGAGGAGGACGAGCCGCTGTCCCGGTGCGTGTCCCCCGGCGGGGAGGGAAGGAGGGAGGGTCCCGCACGCCCGCGGGGGGTCCCGCACGCCCCGGGGCTCCGGTGTGGCCGGTCCCGAGGATCTGGGGGACGCAACGGCAGCCGCGCACCCCCCTGGCTCCGTCACGCAGCTCCTGCGGGGCTCCCCGCACTGCCCCCGCATCCCCCCGGCCGCGCCGTCGAGGTGCACGGGCAGGGGGAGCGGGACCGGCCCGGGGAGGGGCCGGTGCGGCCGGAGCGGCGCCCGGCGGGCTGGTCTGGGCACGGTGGAGCCCCGGCCCCCGCCCCGCCGTCTAGGGATGGCGGGCTATAAAAAGCCTGTGGTTTGCGCCGCGCTCGGGGCGGTTATTTTTACTCGTGTCTGTGCAGGGAGGAACGCCCGGGTTTAACCCAAAAGTGCAGCCTGGATGGCAGCCGCCCTGCCCCGGCCCCGCCACTGCCTCCCGGGCACACCGGGGCCTTTGGGCGCTGGGGCTGAGCCCGCCGTGCAGAGGGGAAACTGAGGCACGGCCCCGCGGCGCTGGTGGTTCGACGTTCAGGGAGTGTGACAGTGACAGTGGTGACACTCCGGTGCGGGGCCAGGGCCTGGTGACACCTAGGGGGTCACTGCTCTGCCTGTTCCCAGCACACGTTGGTTCCTTCCCGCTCCCAGGTGGGGATAGGACACGGCCACGGCTCCTGCCAGCACGTGGCATCTCCAGCGTGTCCGGTTCTCCCTCTGTCACCCGGGGAGGGCGAGGTGGATCCTCTGCAGGATCCTCCTGCCTGGCACAGCTGATTGCCAGCACGTCCCCGACCCCATCCCTGGGGCTTTACTCCTTTCATGAGAAAAAGTTTCCGAGGGCTGTTGGCTCTGGGGTTTCGCAGGGAAGGAATTGGCGTGGCAGCTGTGGATGAGCGGGAAGGCAGGGCCAGGACCACGGGCTGTGACCCCACGGCACCCCCACGTCCCACTTGGGAAGGGAGTGTGGGCCACCTGGTGAGCCCAATCCTGGCCCCTTTCCATGTCCCTGGCTACCAGCTGGATGTGGCACGTGCAGGGAGACCTGTGGATCTCAGGAAGGAAGGGACATCTGGGAGGGAGGTGCAGGCTTAGGGTGTCAAACGTTCCCGCTCATCTCCAAGCCAGGAGCGCTGATGAAAAGGAAAGTAGGTCTGGGAAACTTTGGAAAACTGGGTGTTGTGAGGGGACAGGGATCCTGCTGACTCCTGGGAGAAGCATCCTGGCAGTGAGGGAGCTGTGGGGGTGCCTGGAAGGATTTTGGGACTGGTGTGTTTAAGACCCTTGAATTTCCCTCCTCTTCACCAGAATTCCAGCAGGATTACGAGGAGCAAACCAGGTTTGGGAGCCATGGGGATGAGCTCAGGCCAGCCAGGAGCAACTTTGCTGCCCCCAGCAAAGCCTCCAGCAGCAAATATCCCCACATGAATTCCCCAGCTGCAGCGTGGGGTGGCCCAATCCCATGGGAACAGCGTGTTCCCTCCCTTGGAAGCGGGAAACACCGAGCCAAAAAGGTGCTGGGGGTCTGCGTGTCCGCCTGTCTCTCCGAGGGCAAGAGCTGCCTCGTTTTTTGGGGGGTGTTTCGATCCTTCCTCCTTCCACACAGTCATTTTGGAACCGAAAAGCCTCCGCCCATCGCGCTCCGCCGGCAGCACCGGCCCGTGGCCACGCCGGGCACTGGTGGCACTTTCGGTCTGTGTCACCCCCGAGGGGACAGAGCCGAGGCTGGAGGGTCCCTCCAAGCCCAGCCCACGCCTGGATTCGGCTCCGGAGGGTCACCTGGCCGTGGCTCCGTGCTGTGGCAGGGGCGGATAAATTAATTCTAATCGATTGATTAGAACTCACTGGGGCAAGGTGGGTACAAGGGTCAGTGGAGGTGCTGGTGGTCCCCAATTTCCCCCGGGCCCCCATCCCCACCAACCTCTCCTCTCCCCTGCTTCCCAGCCAGCTCCTCCTGCCTTCCCTCTCCCCCCCCAGCGCTGCCAGCCCCGCTCTGGTTTGTACTGGTCGCTTGTCTAAACAACCTATAAAAAGCAGAAGGGCCCGACAGGCACAAACCTCGCCCTGCTCGGGCCTTTCCCTGCGCCGGGGTCGGGGTGATGGTCACACCAACCCTGCCATTCCCTGGGGATCTGCGAGATCCGGGCTGGGAGCGGGGCAGCAGGGGCCAAGGGTGGACGTGTCCCCCTGGTCCCAGCACTGTGTGTCCATCCCTGTCCTCTGCTCCTTCAACCCCCTCGCCCTCCCGGTCCCGGCACTGCAGCATCATCATCATCCCTGCCCTCCTCTGGGATTTTGCTGCTCCTGGCTCGGATTTTCCCCTCCCAGCCAAACCCAGCTGCTTCTCCCTGTAAAAGATGGGATGGAAACTCTTTCTCCTGCTTCAGTCATCAGTTTTTCTCCAACAAGACACTTTTAGGGAGCTGCACAATGCTGACAGCAATTGATAACCACTCTGTCTCCACCCACTTTCTATCCCTGCCCAGTCACCCCCAGCTTTCAGGTTTGTGACTAAATCCCCATGATTTGGTGCAAACAACATTTTCCCCACACTTTCTGTGTCCCATGGGAGGATGAATCACGGGGGAGCTCAGAGATCCTGACCTGGGGTCATGTGGGGAGCGCTTGGACCCCAGAGCGGTTCTGCACCCAAGCCCCTCCCCTAATAACCCACCCGCTTCGATTTTGGGATGAATCTGGTGGATTTAACACTTCTGGGGTCATCCAGGGATGCAAAGGTGTCAGAGGCAGTGCTGGGAACTCCCATTATCGTGCCGAGCATCCCACACCACACACGGAAAAACACTCCGCTCTCCGGGGGCTCGCTCGGTCTCAGAGCACTAATTAGGAGCTGGGATGGGGAGTTTACACCCTCAGGCGCGATGCAAATGACCCCTAAAGGTGTAGAGGACCCGGGGTGTTAATTATAAACCTCGTGCCAGCCCAGGGGTCGGGGTGCCGCCCCTCTGTGGGTGCTGGCACGGCGGGCTGAGGGGCTGTGGAACCCAGCCCGGTGCGTGCGAGCCAGCAGAGCCCGGGCTAAAGATAAGCTGGCGTGGGAGGGAGCGGAGTCTGACGGGATGCCAGGCAGCACCAGAGCCTCTGCCTGGCACGGGGAGCACGGAGTGGCTCCTCTCTGGAAGGTTTTGAGGGCTCCAGCGCTCCAGGTCTTGTCGGGATGACGCTGCCAGTCCCCATCACGGCGACGCCACGAGGAGCCTCTGCGGGACGTGGGACCCCCTGGGATCCCCACGGCATCACCCCATGGGTGCTGGTGTCATCCAGGACCCCCACAGCCTCAAACAGGCCAGACCCAAACCCCCCTTGGGGAACAGCCCCTCTTTCCACACCCCAAACTGAGCGGCGGGGGGCGGGCAGCAAGAGCTGACCCCTCTGGATGGCCCCGGGATTCACTGGGAGTGCCCTTTGGTGTCGTGCCACAGGTGCCGGGGCCGGGAGAGCAGGAGCTGCCCTGGGAGTTGGGAAAACCTCTGCCATTCCCGCGGGGAATCGCCGGCTCTTTCCGGCGGGGCCGGGGTGGTCCGGGCACCCCCGTCGTGCCCCGGTGCCGTGCGTGGGCCCCGGGACACAGGGTGGCAGCGGGGCCGTGGGAACGGCAGCGCCATTTCCTTCCATAAATTAAAATTAGTTTTGATCGGCTAAATTTAGCGGGCTGAGCAAGATGGTAAATGGCAACGTGCTCGAGAGGGGGAAGCGGGGCGAGCCCGGGGGGCATCGGGGCAGTGAAGGGCTGGCTGGACCCCAACTGCCCCCCCTGGGGAAGAGGGGGGGGCTACCGGCCCAGCTCAGGGGGTCTCGGGGTGCTGGGTGTGCCCAGCACTGAGTTCCCAGCCCTGTTGGCTTCCCAGCTTGGCTCTTGCCCTGTGGTCGTGGCCTGGGGACAGCAGGGACAGCGCTGGGCCAGCTCTGCCCCCAAAGTGGGGTGGGGGTCCCATTAGGAGCGCCTTGACCCCACCTGTGGCTCTGCCCCGGAGGCACTGGGGCATCCCAGAGGGGTTCTGGGGTGACTGGGGCTGGGGGATGGCAGAGGAGCAAGAGCAGGGGCCATGTGGCAGTTGGGGGGGGGGCACAGCGGGGTCACAACCCTGTGCCAGGCTCTGAGGTGTGCAGGCACCCCCCCAGCCAGGGGGCATGTGGGGTCCCCAGACCCCTCGCCCTTCCCAGGGCTGGCTCACGTGGCCACCAGAGGTGGGTGGTTTCGCTTTGCTGTCTCCTCTGTACAGCCACTTCCTGGCCTGTGAATGGTGGAGGTCAAATTTAGCCTCTTAGTCTGAGTTAAAAAAAAAAAAAGAGAAATTTAAAAAAAAAAAAAACAACTGGAGCCCAAAACCAGCCCCTTTGGTTCGAGGGACCCTCCCCACTGCCCGCCTGGCCGCCCATAAATCCGCCCTCCCCATCCCACGGACCCGCCGTCAGCAGCATCAGGGGCAGCACCAGAGCAGCCCCCCGGCCTCGGGGAGGAGCAGAGGGATGAGAAGCCTCATCCTGAGCTCCCAGTGAAGGATTTGGCGTCCCAGCACTGTGGTTTTCCAGCCGACACCCACAGGTGCTGAGGGCCCGGGGTGATGGGGCTGGGGTGGCTGCGCAGGGCTGAGGGGATTTTTCCTCCTCTACCCCATCAGAATTCCCCAATTTTTTTTTTTTCCGCTCTTCACTTCGCTGCCATCTTTGCAGAAGACCAAAAAAAAAACCCAACAAAACTTCCTCCGAAAACCTTTTTTTTTTTTTTTTTTTTTCAGCAAAACCTCATTTTTGGCGGTGCTGGGGCGGATGCTCGCTCGGGACGGCCCCGGGCTGGAGGGGCTCAGGGGCTTCTCGCTCTCTTCCAGCCCCGAATCCGGCATAGGAGGCAGAAATGGGCCGTAAAAAAATACAGATCAGCCGAATTTTGGATCAGCGGAACCGGCAGGTAGGGACGGCTCAGCGGGACGGGACTCTGCGAGGGGGGCGAAGCCTCTGTGCTCCCACCACCCCCAGGGGTGTCGACCCTGCAGAGGGACCCCGGCAGGAGGGCTGGGGGCTGTGTCCGGGGGTCTCCAGCACGATGTTTGTGTCCCTTTCCCCCCCCCCCAGGTGACGTTCACCAAGCGCAAGTTCGGGCTGATGAAGAAGGCGTACGAGCTGAGCGTGCTGTGCGACTGCGAGATCGCCCTCATCATCTTCAACAGCACCAACCGGCTCTTCCAGTACGCCAGCACCGACATGGACAAGGTGCTGCTCAAGTACACGGAGTACAGCGAGCCCCACGAGAGCCGCACCAACTCCGACATCCTCGAGGTAGCGGCCCCAGAGGGGGAGGAGGAGGAGGAGGAGGAGGAGGGCTGGGCAGGCTGCAGGACCCCCCCTGATGGTCCTGCTGCCCCCCAGACGCTGAAGCGCAAGGGGCTGGGGCTGGAGAGCCACGAGCTGGAGCTGGACGAGGGTCCCGAGCCGGGGGACAAGGGGAGGAGGCCGAGCGAGGGCGTCAACCTGTCGGTGGCGCGGCCCAGGTTCTACGTGAGTCGCTGGTGGCGGGTGGAGTGGGGGGCGTGAGGGACCCCCAGAGACCCCCTCCCCTCCCCTGTCCGTGGTCTCAGCCCTGCAGAGCCCTGAGTGTCCCCAAGAGTCCCCATCCCCTCCCTGCTCTTGACCTCCCCTTTGGCCTGAGAGTCCCAGGGGTCCCCAAGGTCCCCATCCCCTCCCTTGACCTCTCTTTTGCCTTGCAGGGCCCTGAGGGTCCCAGAGAGCCCCCATCCCCTCCCTTGAACTCTCTGTTGCCTTGCAGGGCTCTGAGGGTCCCCTCCTTTGACCTCTGCCTCTCTCTGCACAGCCCCAAGGGTCCCCAAGGGTCCCTGTCCCCTCCCTGCCCTTGACCTGTGTGTGCCCCAGCAGAGCCCGGTGCCACTGCCCGAGGTCACCTACGGCAGCTCCCCCCCAGCCACGGACACGTCCCTGGGCAGTGCCAGCAGCTCCCCCCAGAGCCAGGGACGCTCCCCTGCCTTCAAACCGGCAACCCCGAAGCCACCGGGACGGTCACCGGGGCCACTGCCCCCAGGTAGGCTGGGACACCACGGGGAGCTGGGTGAGGGGGAGAAGGTCCCTGCCACGGGTGCCCCATCCCTGCTGTGGGCACCCCATCCCCTCCACGGGCCTCTGTTCCCTCCGTGGGCACCCCATCCCCTCCACGGGCACCCCATCCCTGCCATGGATATCCCAACCCCACCGTGGGCACCCCATCATTTCCATGGGCACCTTGTCCCCGCCATGGACATCCCAACCCTGCCACGGTCACCCCATGCCCACCATGAGCACCCCATACCCACCCTGAGCGCCCCAACCCCGCTGACCCCGCAGGGGTTTTCCCAGCCAGGCCCCGCATGCAAAGCTCCTCTGACGGCGTCTCCTGGGGGTTTACCGGGCGTGGGCAGGGAGAGCTGCAGCAGCTCCAGCTGTGGAAACACCGGCCCTGGCCCCCCCTCCAGCTGCTTCCTGCCTCCTCCCAGCACCCGGCACCCAGCTGGCCCCTCACCCTGCACCCACAGCCCCCCTCCCGCTCGGCACAGCACGAGGGGCTCATCCTGCCCAACAGGGACCTGGCGGCCTCCAGGCCCACGTGGCAGAAAAAGCTGATGGAAAAAAAGATGCTGGGCCTTGACTGGTGGAAACCACCCCCCTCTCCCCACGGGGTGGGTGGGAGGTAGGAAGGGATGTGGGTGTGCAGCGTCCCGCTGAGTGTCCTTGGGGTGCTGGATGTCCCCCCATGGGAGGTCCTGAGTGTTCTGTGGGGGTCTGGGCTGTGGGAGCTCCCCGTGGCAGGGTCCGGAGAGGGGGCTGGCACCTGCTGGCACTGCCTCCACGTGTCATCTCTTGCCACAGCCCAGCTGTGCCCGTGGCCCTGGAGGATGTGGTTGCTGTCCTGGCACACACGGCTGCCCACGGCAACAAGGGCACCAGGGCCGCCACCCTCACACCCATGGGGATCCCCCCCTGTCCCCACACCCCTTGGAGCCACCCCCTGCATCCTCCTGTCCCTCTGTCCCTGCAGGTCTCGGCTACCCCCTGTTCCCTGCGGGCAGCCTGAACCGAGCCCTGGCCACCAAGACCCCCCCGCCGCTGTTCCTGGGGGCCGAGGGCCGGCGGGGGGAAGCCCAGGGCAGCCTGGCGAGCGCCCGGGGTGGTGGCAGCACTGCGGTGAGTCCGGCTGTCCCTCTGAACACAGCGGTGTCCCCTCCCCAAACCCAGCTCCTCCCACCCCCCCTTGCCCAGCCCAGCAGTGGGGCTGTGCTGGGGGGTGCAGGAAGGGCCCGGGGTGGGGGGAGATGCTCTGGCGGCTCAAAGCCTGACAGGGTGACCCCGCTGTCCCACAGCGGCCGCTGTACCCGGCCCTGCAGACCCTGAGCCCCGTCCTCACCCCGGGCAGCTCCAGCATCCCGAGCCACGGCCTCGCCGGCTTCCCCTTCCTCAGCCCCGCCCAGGCAGGTGAGTCCTGGTCCCTCAGCCCTGGGACGGCATCCACACTCTCCCCCACCCCACCACCCCCTCCCCCAGATCCTGCTCACTCCTGACCTCCTGCCCAGCAGATTTTGGGGCTGGAGAGGTCCCGCCGCCCCCGGGTTCCTGCAGCCCGGCCCCCGGCATGGCAGCACCCACGGGACGTGGCGGCACTGGGGTAAGGAGAGGGGCACTGGGGAGTGGGGGACAGAGGCGTGGGGTGTCTGCTCGTGGGTGCCACCTCCCAGCCACGGGTGTTGCCAGCACCCTCCATGCTGGTGGTACCTGTCCAGCTTCAACCCAAAACTGGACTGGGTAGGGTCATCCCAGAAGCCCCCCCAGCTCGCCACTGTTGGCAGAGCCCATTTCCAACTGGATTTCCCCATGGAGCTCATCCCCATGTGCACCTCCTGGTCACACACCAGGCTCCCAGCAGCGGGGTGGGCACCTGCACAGTGCCCAGCTGGGCCAGAGCCAGGGCATGACATGAGTTTTGGGGGGTCTCAGTCCCCCTAGGGATGAAAAGCAGGGGTGAACTCAGCCCCTCTCCAGCCTGCACCCCCCGGCAGGGCATGCAGGGAGACCCGGCCTCACCCTCCTCCCCTCCTGCCCCAGGGTCAGCGGCCGGATCGTCTCTGCCGAGGACCCTCCCCCGGCCCCCGGCTCCTCCCCGCAGCACCAAGCCATCAGCATCAAGTCGGAGCGGGTCTCCCCGGGGCTGGGCTGCCCCTCGGGCACCCCCCAGCCCCCCATGGCCAGCCTGGCGTCCCTCAGCGAAGCCTCCCGAGGCTCCGGAGACCTCCAGCCCCGGGATGACTATGCCAAGGGGTACCCCTACCCCCTCGGAGCCCCCCGGCCGCCGGCAGAGGAGCAGAGGGTCGCGGTGCCCCCGCGGCGGGCGCAGCCCTTGGACGTTTGGCAGAGATAGCGAGGCCGAGGGGGCGCGGGGGGTGGGGGGAGCCGTGCTTAAGGGGGAGCAGCCCCCGCTTCGCCCCCATCCTCAGACCCTCGGGGAGCCCCCTGTGCCCTTTGCAAGCCACAGGGCTTCTCGCGGGGTCCCTGTCCCCCACCCCGCTGCCCCCCATATGCCACCAACCCCCACCCCCGGCTCGCTGCGCTGCCCCTTGACCCCTGCAAGGCCAGGACCCCCAGGGGCAAGGAGCGCTGCCCCCGGTGCCCTGCCCGGTGCCGAGCACTGCCCATCCCCGCCTGTCCCTGCGCCAGAGTGTCCCCAGCGAGCGGGAATGGCTGGGAAGTGCCACGCGGTGGCAGCAGGACTGAGAGCACCAGCAGCAGCTCCAGCCCTGCACTCCCACCCCACCCCTCCCCGGCCCAATCCTGCGCTCAGGGGGGCTGCCGAGGTCCCACAGTGAAGGGGGGGCGTGAGGGGGGGAAGAAGGGAGGGGGCAGCCGGGGTGGTGGGTTTCGTCCCCCCCCACGCGGGGGCTCTTTTCTATTTATTATTATCTTCTCACCAATAAAGAGCTGGGGGTGTCGGGTCGTCTGGTGTGAGCTTCTTGGGCCCGTGCTTTGGGGTGGCAGGGCGTTAATGTCCCCAGGGGGAGTAAATGGCCCTTTTGTCTCAGCGTTGCTGTCCCCCTCGTGTCCCCCCTGGCTCAAAACCACCTCTCCAGGGTCAATGGCCAGCAGGGTGGGTGACAGCCGGGTCACGCCCAGGCTGCCCAGGTCCCTGAGGCCCAGCCCAGGCTTCCCCCACTCCTCGGTGACCCCAAAAAGCTGCTCAGAGGGTCTCAGTGGCTACAGCCTGGCGCTGGGAACGGGTGGGAGGAGGAAAATCCCCCTCTGTGCCCTTAAGATCGGCATCGGCGGGGCAAGGGGGGTTAAGTGGAGGGGTGGGCCCGGCCCAGCTGAGCTGTGTCTCTCAGAGCTCAGGGCATGGGGGTTCTGCCGCTTTTTGGGGTGGGGGATCATCCCCCGGGGCCTGGTGGGCACAGCCACGGCCACGCTGCTGAGAGGTGAGTGAGGAGGGGGGGACCAGGGCCCTGCAGTGCCCACCACCCCAGAGGGGTGTTTGCTGGGGGTGGTGGGTCCCCCCCAGCGCTGCCTGGGCACCCCCAGGTGGGGATCAGGTGGGGGTAGGGGGGGTCCAGCGCCGAGCTGGGCCCCTTCCCGCGGCGGGGGGGATTACAGAGCCGAGCCCCGAGATTAAAACCTGGGCGGGAGATTAATCCTGGGAAGAGTTTGCCCCGTTTAATAGAGCGACATAAATACCAGCCGGGATTAGGGGCTGTGCGGAGCCCCGGCAGCCCGGGGCTGGATCCAGGCTCGGCCCAGGCCACCCCCCCTCCGATGGTGGGTCCCCTCCTGGGCCACCCTTGGGACTGGGAAGGGGCTTTTGCGTGGAAGGAGGAGGCGAGACACCCGGCGAAAGTGTGGGGGCTGGGGTAAGAGACACTGATTGAATAGCAATGACTGCATGATTTATGGTTTGCATTATTGCACGGCTCATTTGAATATATGCTAATAAGGCTTTTCTCCCCGTTTTTTTGTTTGTAAGATTTAGATTTGCTATGGCAACCCGCTGGCATGGAAGGAGCGCCAGGAAATGTCAGGGCGAGGTGAGCCCCGGGGAGGGGCTCGGGGCTGCCGGGGCGGGGGTGGGGGTGGGGGGAAGGACTGGTCGCATCCCACCACCGGGACACGGGAATGGCCGGCGGGACCTGGAGGGCAGAGATGGAGACCCGGAACCACCGGAGTTACGAATCCCACCGGCACCTGCAGGTCCAGTAACGCCCACTGCGACAGGTCCTAAACTGGGGTTGGGGGTGCCCTGGGGTGCCCTGGGGTGCTTTGGTGCTGCAGAGAGGTCTCTCTGCCCCAGCCTCGTGTCGCTGCCCTCCTGCCCTGAGACCCCAGCGCAGAGGAGAGGGGGGGTGTCCCATAGCACTGGACCCAAAGGTGGCACCCAGGGATCCCCAGCTTTACTGGGGGGGTAGGGGGGACAGCGCTCGTGGTGACACTGGGAAGCGACAGAGCATCTACGTTCGCTCTGTGTCCCCCACCATCCATCCCACGGGGTTCTGGCCCACTGCAGAGGGGTCTGGGCCATCTCCTGTCCTCTGTAGCTCCCTGTCCCCTTCCCAGCTGGCCCGAGAGCTGCCCCAGCGAAGCCCAGTTACCTGCAGAGCCAGCACGGCGGGGTCTGTGCTGCTCCGGGGGGGTGCTGGGCTCCGGCGCTCGGGGCTGCGGAGCCGGTGGGGCTTTGTCTCCCGGTCGGTGCCGGTCCCTCTCCCAGCGCGGGGTGGGGGATGTTGCTGTCGAGGGTCTGCACCCCGATTTGGGGGGCTGTGCGCCTTTCCATCAGGGTTTTCCCTTGCTGGGGGAAGACGGATGGGTTGGTTTTGGAGGGGTTGTCCCCTCCCCAGAGCCCCGGGGGAGCAGCCCCGTGTCATCGGATCCCAGCCCAGGCTGGGGTGTGGGCCGAAGGTCCGTGTCCCTCAGGGTGGTGGTGCCACCGAGGGGGACACATCCCGGGTCCCTCCGCTGCCCCCTGCCCTCGGCCCTGCCCCCACTGGGAGAGCACCGGGCCTGTCCGGGGGCAGGCGTGGCCCCTCGGAGCCCCGCGGCCACGCGTGACCGCGGGCAGGGCCGAGGACGCTCCGGGCTGTCGCGGTGGCCCCGGGGCTGGACACCGCGTGTCCCTGCAGCCGCCCGCTCCGACGGGGGCCGATCTCTGCTCCCGGAACTGTTCCACGCCTTATAACGGGGCAGCAACGAGCCCCGGGGCTGGCCACGAGTGGCCGCGGCCCCGATGGAACGGAGGTGGCCGCTCCCTCCTCACCGCCTCACCGGGGGCTGCCTCCCTTTCCCCCTCGCCCCCTCCCCGGTGCATTCTCCCCCAAACACCCACTTTGCTGTTTTGCGAGAGCCCTGAAATATTGATGGCGCTGCGCCGGGCGCCTCTCAATGAATTTTTGATCAAAACTGTATCAGGGAGCCAAAATACGCCACCCACCCATCCCCCCCCCCCCAACCCAAAACCCGAGCCCGCCGGGGGTGGGGGGCACCGCGCCCGCCGGTACCGGGGGGATGGAGGACCCGAGCCCGACCCAAGGGCCTTTTACCGGTGGTGGTCCCCGGGCAACGCGGGGGTCTCCCCACCACTCAGGGTGGGGGTCGCACCCCACAGCCGGGCAGGGTTATTCCATGGCTGGCGGCAGGATTTGGGGTGCCCTGCGTGCAGGCCCGGCCTCCTGCAGCCCGCGGGGCTGGGAGGGTCCGGCCGAGCCCCCCTGAAGCCCCGGTTGGATGGGACGGGCCGTGGGCGACCGGGACAGCGAGTCCCGGTGCCCCCCAGCCCGGCCGGGAGAAATATTCGTTAATGAGGAAATGCATAAGCGGAGCTCATTAGGGCGGAGCGCGGAGCCGGCGGCCTCCCCGGCAGCGCCGGGCCGAGGGCTGCCCGTACCCGGGGCGGGCAGGGCCGGGGGGACACCGGGGCGGTCCCGGCTCCGCGGCGGGGGCTGCGCGTCCCGATCGCTCCGGCGGCCGGGGCCGGGCACGGCCCACCCCGGCCCCGCTCGGTGCCCGGGGGTCTGCGGGGCGTTGTGTGTCTCTTTGTGCCCACCCCTTCCCCCCCACCTCGGTGCCGAATGTGGGGCGCAAACCCCTCCGAGCGCTGCGCGAAGCCACCGTTTTTTAGCGCTCCGAAAATCCCGGTGCGGCGGAGGAGCGAGGGCCAGGGGAGGGGGTGGCGGGCGGGGGGGGAATCCGTTCCCGGCCGCTCCGGGGCTTGTAGGTCTTGACCGGCCGGATCAGGGCGGGGGGAAGATTTTTGGTTAAATTAAATAAAAAGGGCCAATTTCTGCTTCATTTCTACGGAATAATCCTGCACTGGCCGGGAACGGGGCGCCCCTGCCCCAAGCCCCTCCCGGAGCCCCCAGAGGGAGGTAACGGAGGGAGGATCCCCCCAAATCCCCCCCGTCAAATCACCCCTTGGGGTACCCTGAACCCTGAGGGTCCCGCAGCACCCAGGGCGGGGAGAAGACGCGGAGCGGGGCGAGGGGGGGGTGGGCTCGAACTCGTCCCTGCCACCCGCTGCCCGTGCGGGGCCGCATCCGCGGGGTCACCGGGATTACTATTATTATTACATATATTTTTTCAAATAATAAAATCCTCGTTATTTTTAGGTTCTGCTGCCAGAGCCGCCCCCGCCCCTGAGCCCTCCTCCTTTCCCCAAGCCCGGTGCCCCCCCCACCAGCGCAGGGCTAACCTATCCCGCTCCCGACGTGAGGACGTCATTCCTTACGTAGTAAAATATGGAGAAAGCAAGGGGAAAAAAAAAAAAAAAAAAAGACGCATTTTTCCCTCCTCTCTCCCATCTCCATTTCCAAAAGGGACAAAATGGATGTTTGGGCCGAATACGCCCCCCTACGCCCCCCCCTCCACGAAGGTCCCGGTGGCGGCGGGCCGGGGCTGCCCGGTCCGCTCGGGGGGGGGTGGTTCCTGGCTTTAAAGCCCCGGGCAGACGTTCTCTGTTTAACCCCACGTAAAGGCAACGTGATCGCGGGGGGCTCCGCTTCCCACAGCCCTTGCCGCTCCCGGCCGGTCCTCTCCGGGAGCCGCAGCCCGGCTCCCGCACCGCCTGGAGATGGCCCCGGGCTCCGCGTCCTGCCCGCAGCCGGGGCCGGTTCCCCCAGCCCCCGCCCCGGAGGCTGCCGGTGTCCCGGCGGCTCTCGGCTCCCGCTGTCGCTAAGTCATTAATGGATGCAGATGTGCGGAGGGAGGTAAATAATCCCCCCCCACTCCCCTTTTTTTTTTTTTTCGTCGCTGTTTTTTCCCCCCTGTCCCTGCCCCGCACTGAACTCGCCGGGCCGGGGCGGCCGCCGGTGCTGCCCGCAGGAGGGGCAGGGCTGTGCGGGCACCACCGGTGGCCGCCCCGCTCCCCCTCCCGCTTCTCCCAACTTG